TCACCCAAGCTGGAGTGTAGTGGCGTGATTTCGGCTCACTGTAACCCCCGCCTCCCAGGTTCAACCGATTCTCCTGCCTCAGCCTCCTGAGTAGCTGGAACTACAGGTGCATGCCACCATGCCCTGCTAATTTTTTTTGTATTTTTAGTAGAGACAGGGTTTTACCCTGTCAGCCAGGATGGTCTGGAACTCTTGACCTTGTGATCCTCCAGACCTCGGCCTTCCAAAGTGCTGGAATTACAGGTGTGAGCCACCACACCTGGCCAGTCTTTATGTCTTTCAGCTCAAATTCCCAAGGAGAAAAACCTGAGAGGTTACTGCCCAGCGAGTGAATTAGCTTTCTGGAATAGGTACCCATTGCTAGTGAGATCAGCTGTGGCTGAAGGTGGTCGTTTGGAAGAAGGTTCGTTCATCCTGTCAGTCAAGGGCTTGGGGAGCGGTTCAATTCCAGCAAGTGAATGCTTAGGCACCCCCTACATGTGAGCTGAACAGCCACTCCCCAGACGTGTGCACCACAAGAAAGTTAAGCAGGTGGATAGTTAAATCTGCACTTAGTGGCTAGAGGTTGAGCTATTTCTAAGAATGTATCTCCTTGTTCATTTATTTTTCATGTATCAAACACATACGCTATACTCAGCACTGAGGATGCAAACATTGTAGCTACGCCTGCCATCCCAGCACTTTGGGAGGCTGAGGTAGGCAGATCATTTGAGATCAGGAGTTCAAGAACTGTGTGGCCAACATGGTGAATCCCGTCTCTACCAAAAAATAGAAAAATTAATTAGGCTTGGTGGTCCACACCTGTAGTCCTAGCTACTTGGGAGGTTGAGGTGGGAGAATTGCTTGAACCTGGGAGGCAGAGGCTGCAGGGAGCCAAGATCGTGCTGCTGCACTCCAGCCTGCGTGATGAGACCCTGTTTCAACAAAAAAATTATAACTAATAATAGGCATTTGCTGTATGACTTCGGGCTAGGTGATGCTGTAAGTGAAGTAAGTTACTGCTGGTAACACTGGGGTTTTCACCCAGCCAACATGCCTTGGGAGCCTCTGTTCTTAACCCCTGCTATATTTTACACGGTAGAATGAACTCGATGAAAAGTGAATGAGGAGTTGCAGAGCATGACCTGTTACGTCAAGAAGCTTACATGTGCATGTAACGTTTATAAATGCACAACGGCAGAAAGCCCCTGCCTTCTAAGCTACACACCCAACAGTTGACAGCAGTTTGTGTTTATTAACACTTTTTACTACATACATCTGTGTAGCATTTGCATATTTTTTAAACACATGTATTGCTTTTACAAATAAAATGTTGAAGGCCGAATAAAACAATGTTGAATGAGAAGCAGAGCCTTCTCACAAGTCTTAGCGTCGTCTAATAGAAGAGCTACACCCCGTGGCAGAAAGTGATGGATGAGAGGTAGGAGAGATTGCATTCCTTCAGCAAACACCTGTTGATTATCTGCTTAACTTTGTAGTAGCTTTTGTAGGGACCAAATCCTACTGCTTGTGAGTTTCGTAGTCCACAGTAATTAATAAGCCATATCACTTTTAAAAAGGGAGCACAAAGTGATTCATTTCCATATAGAGGTGGGTGGGGCTTCAGAAGGGACATGCTCAGCCTCCCCCAGGCAAACGAGGAGGCTGCGGTTGAAACCTCCGAGCACCATTGCTGGCCAGAGAGCAGCGTTAGCGTGGAGCTGGAGGGCTGAGGAAGCTGGCCTGGTGGGGGCAGGGAGCGTCTTTCTGGGTGAAGGGAAGGAGTGTGGGGTGGGTGGAGGAAGGAGGCTGTGGAAGACAGGCCTGGAGAAGTTCCGGGGTCTTTAGCTCTACTGCACCAGAGTTTGGCTTCCTGGGAAAACTTACAGAAAGAGAGGGACTGGGGCCTGTGATTGAGAAAGGGCATGGTAGACAGAGGCGCTCTGGACCACAGGGTGGGAGGAACCCAGGAGCCCCGGAGCTGGACAAGGACTGGGAGTAGAGACCAGCATCAGTGACTTGTGAGCAGCCCAGCAGCTGCCGAAGAATCCAGTTCCTGAAGCTCCGCAGGTTTGTTTAGATAAATGAATGTGCGCCAGGGGAGCTTGGTGACCACGGCTTCCCGTCTCGATCTAGGACAGGCTCCAGCCTCTGCCTGATTGTACAGATGAAGACGTGAAGGCTCAGAGAGGGGAAGTAAGTTGTCCAGGATCCCACAGCCTTGAACTGGAGAGCAGGTTTCCTAACTTGCTTGCTGGGGCTCTGTCTACCCCTCCCGCCCCAGGACACGCTCTGTATTATGTCCTCCTCCAGGAGGAAGGCAGCCCCTGTGTCCTTCCCCTTGGTCAGTGCCCCGGGCCTGGCCTTGTGAGCCTTAGTTTCTGCAGGGCCTCAGATCCTGGGGTGGAAATCTCCAACCTTGGCTAGTTCCAGGCTCAGGCAAGGGAACGACAGCCCAGGAAGGCAGCCAGGGACTCTCACTGGATGGAGCCGCGGCTCAGCCAGTTCAGATACACGGGGCAGCTCATCAAAGCCGGCAACTCTGGCTCAGAAAACGTGCTCTGGGGAGGTCGGGCTGAAGCAAGGGGTGGTCCCCAGTGTGCTCTGCCTGGCCTGGCTCTCCTGCATTCTTGTGGGTTTTTTGACCTCCTCTCACAAGAAGTCACTCAAGACTCCCTCTTTGCAGGGAGAGCAGCGCGGTGGCCCTCCCCAGGTCTCTCAGGCTGCCAGGCTTGCCTTCCCTAAACCCCGGTATGAATTCTGATGTCCCTGAATCTGATCTGCCACTTAGAAGTCATGTGACTTGAGACATGTCTCGGAACCCCTCTGAGGCCCATTCTCCTCGTGGGGCCTGGGGAGATGCAGATGGGGTGGTGGGACGCCGTCTCATCTGCTCCTAAGTCTAGCTGTTCTGGTTGTATAGAAATGCTTTTTTGGTATCTTCTGCACCACTCACTGGCGGTGGGGAGCTTCGTGTGGGGCCTGAAATGTAACCACTGCCCCCTTCATGGTTGCTGTTCTTTTCCCCTGTTAACGAACACTAAGCACCTGTGGCTTCCCGGGACTGTTGAAATGTGCGCTCCGATTGACAAGACCCCCCGCCCCCCCAAGCAGGCTTTGTGCGCGCAACATGGCTGTTTATTCACCCAGGTGCGGTGGGCTGAGTCCGAAAAGAATCAGCAGAGGGCCGTTGGATAGGAGTTGGTTGTATAGGTTTGGGGTAGGCAGTGCAAAGTGACAGAAGTTACAGTTTAGGGCGGTTTTTGCAAGCTGGGAGGGGGTCGTAGGGCACGAAGTTGACCAGGGTCGGTCACAAAGTCCAATGGCCTTATCCACTGAGGCGGGAATAAGGAGCAATAGAGAATGTCTCAAAGTTGATTAGGCGCCACAGGGGTGGATCATTGCCTCTCCTTATCATGGTCTTCCAGGGACTTCAGATTTTCCAGGAACTCATCTGGACTGTCCGTGCAGGTCACAAGGTTACCATGGCATCTGTGGTGCTGTCAGTCAGCCTAAAAGACTTTACAAGGACCATGGGGAATATGAAGTTGACGGGGGCCCTGCCCCTGAGGAGCTCCCAGCCTGGCATCCTAAAGGCCTGCCACTTGCTGGACTATTCTCTGCCCACTGTTGACACGACAGAGCTGGAAGCTGCTGCTACTTTTGTTTTGTTTTGTTGGAGACAGGATCTTGCTCTGTTGCCCAGGCTGGAGCACAGTGGCACAGCGGTGGCTCACTGCAACCTCAACCCTCCTGTCCCAGCCTCCCGAGTAGCTGGGGCTACAGGTGCACATCACCACGCTTGGTTAATATTTTTTATAGAGATGAGATTTTACCATGTTACTCAGGCTGGTCTTGAACTCCTAAGCTCAAGTGATCTGCCTGCTTCAGCTTCCCAAATGGGCATGAGCCACCACATCTGGCCCAGACCCCAAAGCTTTTCTAAGTTGATTATAGTTTGGGAAGCAGAAGGGCCATAATGGTTTTTATGTTCTTGCCTAAATCAAAGTCTGTTCACGTATAGAGGAGAGTCAGGACCCATGGTTGTGTGGCCCTGCGTGAGTCTCTTTACCACTTGGGCCTCATTTACTTCCCATAATCCAAGGAGTTTGTCTAACTCGAGAAACTGATGCTTTTTAAGCAATGATTTATGGGTCCAAAAGATTTATGGACAGAGGGTAGAGGGCATTGAGCAGATCGTGGTTCCAGGTCCTCTACTCCCAATTCAACCAGAGCAATTCTGCTTTTAAAAATCAAGTTTATTTTAGGAGGCTGAGGTGGGCGGATCACCTGGGGTCAGGAGTTCAAGACCAGACTGACCAACATGGAGAAACCCCATCTCTACTAAAAATACAAAAAATAATACAAAAAAAAAAAAAAAAATTAGCAGGGCTTGGTGGTGCATGCCTGTAATCCCAGATACTCTGGAGGCTGAGGCAGGAGAATCGCTTGAACCTGGGAGGTGGAGGTTGTGGTGAGCTGGTATCACCCCATTGCACTCCAGCCTGGGCAACAAGAGTGAAACTCCATATAAAAAAAAATCAAGTTTGTATGTTGGAATTCTAACTAAGATTTCATTTGAAAAAGGCTCCCCTGCTAAAAGCAAGCTGAAACCTACTGTCCAGGATAAGGGTTTCTTAACCTCTTGACATTTTGGGCTGCCAGATAATTCTTTGTGGGATGGGGGTGGGGGTGGGGCTTTCCTGTGCATTGAAAAATATTCAGCAGCATCCTCGGCCTCTACCCGCTAGTACCCCCCAAGTTGTCACAGTTAAAAATGTCTCCAGACATTGCCAAATACACATGCTCATTGACGTACCATGGAATTGCATCCTGATAAGCCCACTGTAAGCTGGAATCATAAATCCAGCCATCCTGATTGTCTTAGACTTACCAATTGTTCAGCAAACCCATGGTAAAGTTGTAAAGACAAAGTGTAAGCTGAATCATCACAAATTGGAGACTCGCTGTATCTTCTGGGGCACAAAATCTATACTAGTTAAAAACTATGGGTATAAAGCAAAATGGTGATTTAGTTACCACGTCACAAACTTGTCACCCCTTTATATGCAAAGCACTGAGGAACCACAAATAATCCCTGAGTTGAACCAGATTTTCATTTATGTGGAGGTAAGACAACAGTAACAATACAATTAGAGAAATGTCACAAGGCTACACATCACTGTCATGTGAAAGTTGCGTATTTAATAGAGCAACATTTATGCCATTAATGCGTTGTTATTTCACGTTCATTGGCTTTTGCAACTTGTCAAATGGTTTCTGGCTCCCTGCTGCCATCTGGTGGCATTGCACTAAACATGCAGGTGCAGTCAAACCAAAATGATGCCGCCAGGTGACAGCTTGGGGGTAGGGGCACCACCAAATCTAGGTCTGGAGAAACAAGAATCTCCCCCAGGGGACAACTGAGATAAAGCCAGCCAGTGATGGATCTGGGACTGGAGCTGGAGGGCTGATTTATGGAATTCTGTCGATCTCTAACGCCGCAAACTTCTATGAAGCCTCTCCTGTGTGGTAAGCTCTGGGTTTAAGGTGAGGTGGATCCCAAGAGGAAAGGTGCAGATGGCTGCTTCCCACTGTGGGGCAGAGAGCAGACCTGGTGCGTCACTGTGTCTCAAAGGCGCTGCGGGAGGTTAAGTCCAGATGTTACAGGACGCAGAGGCTAGCCCATGCTTGAGGGGCCCTCCAATCTTGAGGGACAAGTTGGGCTAGGCGGAGGCTGTGACCAGGGAGTTAACAGAACAAGGCACATATGAGAAATGGCACATAGCTCAGTTTCTATCTCTCTGCTAGTTAAAAGCTACTGGTACAAAGCAAAATGATAATTATCAAGTCACAAACTTGTCACCACTTTATATGCAAAGTGCCGAGGAACTGCAAGTAAACTCAATCCCCGAATTGAACCAGATTTTCATTTATGTGGAGGTAAGATAAGAGTAGCAATACAATTAGAGAAGTGTCACAAGGCTACGCATGACCGTCATGTGAAAGTTACATATTCAATAGAGCAACATTTATGCCATTAATGTGTTGTTATTTCATGTTCATTGGCCCGCTGGTGCACAGAGTGTGGAGGGGAGCTGTGAGGGGTGGGACTGGAGGGAGAGGCTGAAGCAGTACATTAGGTAATCGGTCCTCGGGAGCCGTGACTCCATTCCTGTGCTGACACACGGTGTGGTCATGTTTTGCAGACCATTGACAAATGCTCGGTGATCTGGGTGTTGAGTGATGTAGAGCGAGTATCTGGGGGGCGAGCCCACGAAGACCTTCTAAATGAGAGCATCAAAGCCTGCCAGCGGGGCTTCTGTAGGGATGTGGCCCTGGTGGTCACCAAGACGGACAAACTCCACTTGCCAGAATATCTAAGGTATTGTGCTGGGCTCGTGGGGATGGGGGCTCCAGCCAGGGGCTTTCGTCTGTGGGTCCTGATTACAGTAGTACGGAGCTTGACTTATAACGTGGTGAGCATCTTGGGCTTCACGAAGTGACTGTTGGGGTGAAAGAAAAGGCTGGTGACTTCCTGGGACATCAGGACCCTTGGTTGGGTTGTCTCGGGAATCTGAACCTCCCAGCGTAACTGCTTAGTGCCAAGCTGGTATCCCCTACATAGCTCCGGGGGTGCCACTCACATGTACCAGATGCAGGTGGTACCTCCTGCACTGTGGGATGTGATGGTCCCACCTGCTCCACAGATGTAGAAAGTGTAGATGCCCCCGTAACTAGGAGGTACAGCCCATAATCCTATCTGGCAGGGTACAGCTTTTTTCTTTGAGACAGTCTTGCTCTGTTGCCCAGGCTGGAGTGCAATGGTTTGATCTCAGTTTACTGCAACCTCTGCCCTCCGGGTTCAAGCAATTCTCCTGCCTCAGCCTCCTGAGTAGCTGGGATTACAGGTACCAGCTAGTACGCCTCACTAATTTTTGTATTTTTAGTAGAGACAGGGTTTCGCCATGTTGGCCAGAGTGGTCTTGAACTCCGGACCTCAGGTGATCCACCCACCTCAGCCTCCCAAAGTGCTGGTATTACAGGCATGGGCCCGTGCCTGGCCTAGGGTACAGCTTTGATGTTTCAGGTTTTTTACTCCTGAGTGTTCTAAAAATCATTAAAAACATTTATTTTTGTTTTTATAAGTTTCAGGGTGCAGGAATGTGCAGGCTTGTTACACGGTAAACACGTGCCATGGTGGTTTGCTGCACCGATCAACCCATCTCCTAGGTTTAAGCCCAGCATTCCCAGCCAGAGACTCGTGAGCTTTTTAACTCACTTGCAACAGGTTCTTAAGGTTTTAGAACTTCAGGCAAAGGTAGATACATTCTCTTAAGAGTCGTGTTCTAACAAATAACGGTGAAAATTAAGCATTTTAGGGCTTAATAGATGTGGGTTTCCATGGAGAACTCTGTTGTCCTGTAGCTAGGAAGGCTATAACTTACCTTCCATATTGGGACATATTCGAGAGTGAGGGGGGAGCGGTTAGTCCTTAGAGGGGATCAGCAGGTATAAACTGGGCTTTCCTGGATCCATGGGGTGTGTGCTCATGGGATGTGATGTCACGGATGCTTCTCGCCTCCAAGAGCTGCTTTACCGGCCCCTCCACCCTTTCCTCTACGCCCGCTGAAGCTTAGGTCTGACTGCCGTCTCCAGGAATTCACTTAGTCTCATGGGTTGGAATTGCAGCTTCATTTTTTTCCCTCCAGCATTATTCCCCATCTCACCCCAGCGCAGAATAATATCTCTGGCCCTCCCTTTCCAATGCCAACGCTCACATTCGCATAAGTAAATCTGATTTATTAATAATAAGTATTTATTGAACATGGCTAGGGGCTGTAGATTCAGAGGCACCTTGCCCAGTCTCTGAGTTCATTGTCTGTAGGAGGGTTAAATGTTATATGTGAAAGGACGAGCCAGGTGCTACCGGAACCCAGGGCGAGAAGTCTGCGTTTTCGACTGGGACAGGGAGTGAGGTCACAGAAAACGTTCACGGTTGACAAAACGCTGACTGGCCATTTAGAAATGCAGGCACTTTTTTCAAGTGGATGCCGGAGGTGGGTCAGAAGAGAGAGCATCGGGTCAAAGAAAGACCTTATGAAAAGGCACAGACACAGGGCAGCATGTGTTACTTTTGGGGAAAATGGAAGGACTGCCGTGGCACATCGTAAAAGTTAAGTAATTGTTACATTTTTCTAATTATGTTTCAGGGAAAGAAAGGCGGGAAATGTAAGTATGAACTAGTTCTTTTTCTTTTTAAATTATTATTATTATTTTTTGAGACAGAGTCTTACTCTGCCACCCAGGCTGGAGTGCGGTGGTACAATCTCGGCTCACTGCAACCTCTGCCTCCCAGTTTCAAGCCATTCTCCTGCCTCAGCCTCCTGAGTAGCTGGGATTACTGGCACATACCACCACGCCCAGCTAATTTTTGTATTTTTAGTAGAGATGGGGTTTCACCATGTTGACCAGGCTGGTCTTGAACTCCTGACCTCAGATGATCTGCGCATCTCTACCTCCCGTGTTGCTGGGATTACAGGCGTGAGCCACCATGCCTAACCTGAACTAGTTCTTTTTAAAATAATACTTTTTATGACTGATATTACTGTTGACCCTTGAACAACTTAGAGGTTAGGGTGCCAACCCGCTGCTCAGTCAAAAATCCACACATAATTTTTGATTCCCCAAAAACTTAACTACTAATAGCCCACCCTTGATTGAAAGTCTTACCGATACAGTCAATTAATACATATTTTGTATGCTATGTGTATTATGTTCTGTATTCTTACAATTAAATAAGCTAGAGAAAAGAAAATGTTATTAAGAAAATCATAAGGAAGGCCAGGTGTGGTATCTCACACCTGTAATCCCAGCACTTTGGGATGCCAAGACAGGTCATCTGAGGTCGGGAGTTCAAGACCAGCCTGACCAACATGGAGAAACCTCATCTCTACTAAAAATACAAAATTAGCCGGGCGTGGTGGCTACTTGGGAGGCTGAGGCAGGAGAACCACTTGAACCCAGGAGGCAGAGTTTGCAGTTAGCTGGGATCGCACCATTGTACTCCAGCTGGGGCAACAAGAGTGAAACTCCCTCTCAAAAGAAAAACAACAAAAATCATAAGGAAGAGAAAATACATTTACAATACGGTACTGTATTTATCAATACTGTAAGTTTACTTCATCTGTTTACAAGATGAATCCTACATCTAAAATGACAGGCAACCACAGCTGCAGACCTCAATCTATAGTTCATATGAAGCAATTCAACCTTTTCTTATGATGTCCTGGCTTTTCTCTGCTACTTGGGAGCCCTCCAGGATCACTGGACTTCACATGGGTCCCATGGTGTTATTCAAGATTTAGGGTATTGCACTAAGCAGGTTGAAAAATACATGAGAACTGCAAGAGATCACTTTTTAAATGCAATTTACCGGAGCAATGAACCGCTCACATGGAGATGATTAGCATCACATGGTGTTTGGCCTTTTAAGTGGATATTGGCAACACTTGAGCTCACCACAACTTCAAAAGGGATGGCTCTGAAGTGATTGCAGTAGTGTAGTGTGTACCACAGTTCATTATATGCAGTTATAATTTAATGTTACATCTTAACGTTTGTTTATATTTCTCTTGACTGCAAATGGTGCCATGTACCGTCTGTAGGTATTTACAGAAGTTTTGATAAATTTTAACTTTTTATAATAGAAACATGTGCATTTCATGGTAATACATGATCGAATCTAAACTGGGATCTACATCTATTTTATGCATTCATGATATGCCTTTTTCTTAATTTTTTTTGATAGTTCTAGGCTACAGGGTTTGTGAGTTTTTTCAAATTGTTGCAAATCTTCAAAATCTTTTTCAGTATGTTTATTGAAAAAGAATCCATGTATAAGTGGACCCACACAGTTCAAACCCATGTTGTCCAAGGGTCAACTGCGTATAATTCCAATACAGTACCTGCATATTTGACTGTCTGGAGCAAATGAAGATCTGCCGAAAAATGTGCATCTTACCACGTCATCACTGTTGTTAACACTGCTCTCTGCATGCTTCTGTGTCCTTTCACAACCTAGCACGCCATTCAGAGTCCGCGAGAGGCTGTTTTAGAAAGAAATGAAATGATAAAACTACAGAGGACTAGAATTCTCAAGGAAAAACTGGAGGTGAGTTAACAGGGTTCCTTATGTGTTTTTCTGTATCCCAGCAACCAGATTTTGGGAAACAAACATACCTGGTATTGCGTAGTTGCAAGGGCAAAAGCTTTGGAATAGACTGTTTGTTTTGTTTTGTTTTTGAGAGGGGAGTCTCACTCTGTTGGCCAGGCTGGAGTGCAGTGGTGTAGTGTGATCTCGGCTCACTGTAACCTCTGCCTCTCAGGCTCAAGAGATCCTCCCACCTCAGCCTCTCAAGTAGCTGGGACTATAGGCATGCACCACCAAGTCTGGCTAATTTTTATAGTTTTTGTAAAGATTGGGTTACACCACATTGTCCAGAGCAGTCTCAAACTCCTGGGCTCAAGTGATCCACCTGCCTTGACCTCCCAAACTGCTGGGATTACTAACCCGGAGTAGACAGTTTGGGTTTAACTTAGTCCCACTGCTTTTGTTACCTCTCTAAGGCTCTATTTTCTCATCCTTAAAGTGGGGAGATGATAATACCTATCTCCTGTGCTTGTCGGAAGGGTCGAATGAGCATGTGGGCCACCGAGGTGTAGGCCCAGGAGAGTCTGGGGTCTCCATACAGTGAGGAATTCTGGAGTGCTGTGGGACTTGGAGGAAAGATGCCGGGTCACACTGGTGGCAGGGGAGATGGGACTAGGGAGGTGTTCAACGGAAACTCAGCCTCTGAGCAGAATTTTATTTTATTATTATTACTTTTTAAGACTGAATCTCACTCTGTGACCCAGGCTGGAGTGCAGTGGCACAATCTTGGCTCATTGCAGCCTCCGTCTTCTGGGTTCAAGCAATTCTCCTGCCTCAGCCTCCTGAGTAGCTGCGATTACAGGCACATGCCACCAGGCCCAGCTAATTTTTGTATTTTTAGTAGAAATGGGGTTTTACCATGTTGACCAGGCTGGTCTTGAACTCCTGACCTCAGGTGATCTGCCTGCCTCCGCCTCCCAAAGTGCTGGGATTACAGGTGTGAGCCACCACGCCTGGTCAATTTTATTATTATTATTTTTAAAGACAGGGGTTTTACTATGTTGCCCAGGCTGGTCTCAAACTCCTGGGCTGACCAACATGGTGAAACCCCATATCCACTAAAAATACAAAAATTAGCGGGGCTTGGTGGCAGGTACTTGTAATCCCGGCTACTTGGGAGGCTGAGGCAGGAGAATGAGCTGAAGTGATCCTTCTGCCTCAGCCTCCCATGTAGCTGGGACTACCGGTCGGCAGGGACCGCAGCGCTCTGCTGATCAGAATTTTAAAGAACCTGTAGTCCTTAGGAAGGTGAAAAAGTCGAGAAGGCGCTTTTGAGGCAGAAGCAAGAACACCACTGACATGGGCTGCTGTGCTCGGTGAACGGCAGGCGACTTGCTTGGAAAGGTGCGGAGAGGGAGTGAGAGGGCGCGGACAGGGCTAGGGCCCGAACTGCACTTAGTGTTTTCTTATTTTTACTATTTTGTCACCAAAATAGGTACAAATATACAACTCTTTACCATAATAGTCTTTTTATTTTCCCTTTTCTTTTGAGATGGAGTCTCACACTGTTGCCCAGGCTGGAGTGCAGTGGCGTGATCTCAGCTCACTGCAACCTCCACGTCCTGGGTTCAAGTGATTCTCCTGCCTCAGCCTCCTGAGTAGCCGGGAATACAGGCACCCCCCACCACAATCAGTGAATTTTTGTATTTTTAATAGAGATGGGGTTTCACCATGTTGGTCAGGCTGGCTTCAAACTCCTGACCTCGTGTACCTCCCACCTCAGCCTCCCAAAGTGCTGCGATTAAATGCGTGAGCCACCATGACTGGCCTTT